AGGGCAAATTTTGGGGTACAACAATGGCATTTAGCCATAACTGGAGTAACCAGAAAGGGCCAGCTAGCAGGATGTTTTTGGAGGTGTGAGATTTCAAACTCGAAATAGCTGACCTTAGACTTTCGTAAAGATCAACTAATAGCAGTTCGCTTAAACACACCCTCCGATTCTCATGCAAATCTCTAGCTAGAGGAATAAACCTACTGGCTACCTGTAGGGATCTGCTGCAAAAGACATACCTTGACAACCATAAGGTAAGGAAAGCAATGTGTTCCACATCCGACACATTATCTCCTTCAGTGTGATAGTGGCTGATAAACTTTGAAAAGCTAGCTAGCTTGACTTCGAAGTCAATAATACTCGAATGCTCTTCATTGTCAGGAATATAGGTTTCTCCTATTGGTGATAACCCAGTAATGGCTGCTATGTCAAAAAAGGTGGGTGTAATCATTCCACCAGGAAGATGGAAAGTATTGTAAGTACTGTCCCAGAAATATAGGGACGCGAATAACAATGGGTGGCTATAGGTAAAACCTGGTTTCGATAGTTTAATCAAGTTGTAAATGCCTAATTCTTCCCATTGCTGGGATTTCTTAGCTTCTACTTTAGCAAACCAGTTGTGATAAGCTGTGTCGGAGGTGGGGCAAGATCGAAATGGTTTGAAGTTACTTTTTACATAATCTAGCACAAAAGGATCCTTAGGGGGAATGATTGGATTTTCCACGGTGGTCGAATCAGAAGACTCTACTGTCTTAGGGGCATCCATTTTATTAAACAGATGTTTAAAATTATAACAAACAGGGAAAAAATTTCTGGTGTCTTTTAAGATTTCAAAGACTGTAAGAGGGCCCATTAAAGCTAACCTCTTGCCAGCGGCGTTAGTAGGAATTAGTACCTGGGATGCATAAAGCATTTCCTTCTCTTTTGAGATCATCTGAGGAATAAGAACCGATTGACCTTGGTAGGTGCCAACCTTGCTTTCCATTATGGTTCCTGTGGTCTTTCCTTTCTTTTTGGAAGCCTTTTTCAGTTGAGATGAAGTTGAAGAAGACATTGTTGGAAGAATGTTGGAAGTTTAGGGTTTCGGTGAGAAAAGAGGAAGAAAAGATTCAGAATGTGGGAAGAAAAGAAAAGACTAAGTTGATGGATTTTTATAGTGGGGAAGTGTAAACATCCACTGAGTAAGATGGTGATACGTGGTAGTCGTGGGTTGGTTTGAGAAGGAGGTGGCATAAAGTTAATATTGGTAATAGGCGTGATTAAATGATAATCATTGTTTTGCAACTGCACCATGCTGTGAAATGGTTCAAGGCGGTTAAGGAATCTGAAAAGCGTTGTGATTGACGTGACTGGAGTCATATGCATTAAATGTTACGATGATTCGAAGGTCGCATCAAAATCTTGTGTATATGTTTAAAATAAGTATTTCTCAAAGGAATCGAAATACATATTTTAAAGGGGCATTTTGTTGGCTGAAGATTTTGATGATATTATTAGAAGCGAAGCAAATTGGACGTTTCGATTGGAATAAAGCAAGATGTCATGTTTCAAAATGATAGAAGCAGTGCTTCGAATAGGCATATCAAAGCTTGGAGCTTCGAGTGACAGTTATGAGGATATATTCAAAAGAAGTCTCGAAGTGATAACAAGGTTGTGTCTAAGAAATGCGTTCGAAGCGAAGAAGTGTCAAAACATTTGAAATTCAAATGCAAGCGGGATGTTCGAAATTTAAAATATATGCGTTGGAGCATTCGAAGACGCGTGGAAGCTAGGGAGAGGCATTGCTCTGCATATTCTGAACGTGGCAGAATCTTATAGCAAGACCGTTATGGTCGAAGTAGTATAAATAGAAGTCTTAGCATTATGATTTCGTGTGTCATATCTATTGTACAAAAAAACTCAGTAAACATTCAAAATACCACATGGCTAGGGAAACGAATGCACGAGCAATGTACGTATGATAACACCAAGTGTTTATGATTTAATAAAACTCTTTATCATTTCCAGTATTTTCCTCTATCTTCATGTCAATACCATTTAAAAGCCTTTGCATTAAAACATTTTCATTCGAAATCTTTTTACTGATGCCTTACATTTAAATGTTTTCTTTCCATTTCAAATACTTTACATTTCAGAAACTTTTGCACATTTCATGCTTTTATCTTCAAGCTTTTATCATTCGAACACCTTTTTTCACTTAAAGTCATTTTAGTGTTTTCTTGCATTTAAACGCTTTCTTCATATTCCGAATCTTTACATTCCAGAGAATCTTTTACATTACTTGTTTTTATGCTTCGAAGTCATTTACTTGTCTTTTCTACAGTTTTATATGTCTTTACAATTGAACTTTATTCATGCAATTTAGTTTCGTGCACATTTACTTGATCACGCCTTTAGATCTTTAATAGAGTAATCGAAGTAAGTTAAACACCTACACAACATTCTAAATACCAACCATGAATACCAGTTCTATAATGAGAGTTATCCAAATGACCAATACATCCTAGGATCAATCTAGTCGATCCTGCGAGTTACCAGAGAGATTGAATAACAGTCATTAAGATTATTCGATAGTTTGGAGGACTAGCGGTTGTTTACCAGAAATAACTGTAAACAGTTACGTAAATTTTAATTATTTAATTTTGAATAATAAACTGATACACAATGTATCAACCGATTTAATTACTCGAAGATAGATATTATATTATTTATAGAATGTTTTGAATTAGATAAATATCCGTGTTAAACTCTTAATTGATTCTCTGTGAAAAATTAAACTTAATTTTAGTGAATTTTAAAATTATAGAACACTATTTAAGTGTAAATTACCTATAGAATATGTATTTGAAAGTCTTCTTTACTATACTTAATTATAAAAAAGTGTGAGGTCATGTCCCTTACACATAAAATATAATATATAATTTAACTAATATAATTGAAATTAAAAAATATAATTAATAAAAAATGTTTTTCATGAAACACTTAAAAACTTTCAATTCGTTTAAATATAATGATTATAATGTTAGATTTTAAATAAGTGCGTTAAATTATTAAGATTAACTTATAAATTTGAAGTAAATTTAATATTCTGACTCAAATATTTTTACTTTATATTTTTTAATATCAATAATAATTATATGACCATTTTTTCTATATTTTTCAAAAATAAATATTTATTTTATATTTTTTATGCATCAATAATAAATATTTATTATTATTTTTTTTTAGAAACAAAAAGAGTTTAAGTCCAAAGAACAAAAAAGTTACATATTGTTGTAATCGATTTTAAATTGAGAGTTGTCATTCTTAATTTTTATCTTTGAGAAGGGAATATAACGGCTTAATCCTAATTTGGTCAGAGAATCTAAGTTGTTGGACTCGTTTTTAGACGAAGGAAAAGTGTTAGACATCTCTCATCTATCTTATTCACATGGATACTAGGGTTTAGAATTACGGCTTAAGAAATTGAGTTTTAATTTTTATTAGGGGAACTCGTCACGATTTTAGTCATATGCCTACGTATCCTCTTAGGAGGAATCATGGTCCCAATTTGTAGTTCGCAGTGTTTGATTGGTGTTTTTATAGGATTGCGTAGAATTGCTTTCAAACTTATCCTTGAACCTTGTCCGGGTTGAAAATTGTGTGAGCATAAATGTAATTCACAGTTAATTTTGAAAGTAATTCTATTTAATCATTTTTCGAAAATAATCTTGTTGTTTTTGTTATGTTAGTAAAAAGATGATTTTTGATTGGTTAGTTATATTAAGATTAGAGCGGGAGAGTCTGATATAGTCTCCTCATCACGTGGTCAGATATTAGCCATGTGTCATTCGCGGATGGTGAATTGCATGGACTTTAATTGTTTGATTTTGAATAATAAAATGATAGACGATATGTTGATCGATTTAATTACTCGAAGATGGACATTCTATTATTTATAGAATGTTTGAATTAATTAGTCAAATATTTAAAAATATGTACAAATTAGTCAATTTAATTAATAAAAAAATGACCAAATTAATTTAAAAGTAACATGTTTTTTATGTTTTTTATATTTAAATAACCTAAATAAATAATTAACCTTAAAACTAATTAATTTAAAAAATCAAGGGTGTAAATAGTGATAGAGTGGGTTATTAATAAAAATGTAGAAACTAAAGCCCAGATGACCCATATTACAACTAACCTAATTTTTTTTAATTATTATTATATGCAATGAACAAAAAAAATAAAGATAAAAAAATAAATAATAATGATACATCAAGGAGGGGAACCGATCCAATCTATAACCACCACCCCATTTTTTTTCTGGTTAAATATTCTTCAAATTATTTTTCTCGGCCTATAAAACGTTGACACTTGGACATTAATTAAAAACAAAAAAAATACATTATAACAACACACTAAGGTATACATTCATAGTATCTCTCTTTCATCTTATTCTCTCTTTCGGAACATAAAAAAAAACAAATGAGAAACTCATAACACAAAACCCATGAAATAATAAGGATAAATCATGAAATCAAACCTGAAGGTGATGACCAAAGTTCGCAGTTTGCGCTAAGGCTTGGGAGGTGATGAATGTCGACGGATTTTCGGCAATTCACGGTTGGACGGTGGCGGCCGGTGACTGGGATCGCATCGGCGTACGGACTGGAGACGTGGTGGCACAACGGAAGGGCTTGCGAGATCGCTGCAGTTCCGTTGGTGGGCTTGGGGGTGGCGGTTGGCGTTGAGTTGTTGCGGCGGGTCTTCCGCCGGCGGTGATCTGGGTCTGTTTCATTGAGATGTTCGGTCGGTAGTAGCAACTTGCCTTGTGCTTCCTCTTCTTAAATAATCTGCAAACAAGACTTAAAAAGAACAACAAAAATGGTGAAAGAGAAAAACCACACAAGCCACATAATTAACGGTAGCGACGAAGTTTTGCTTCTTATTTCTTTTTCTCTCCTCTGTACATTTTCTTGTTGTGTTTAATTCACTATCTTGTTGATTTAAAATAATTATAATGTTTGTGTTGTGACGAAGATGGGTGCACTTGTAATAGTTTGAAGGTGATGATGATATACACAAGGAAACATGAAAGGTAAGACACTCAAGTTGGACCTTTTGACTCTATTAGATAAAACTTTAGTAACAAAAGCTGTGGTTTTTTTGGGGAATAGTAATGTATGGGCTAAGACTCTAGGTATAAAGACAACACAAAACAAGACTTTGACTTTTGAAAGAGAAAGGACAGAAATTGTGTGTATGTTAGCATGTGCGAAAATTGTGAGAAAAATATAACGTGATGTATATACAATGTGAATGTTATTAGTAATAAAATTTGGGGGTCTCATATAGAAATCATCGGTCAAAATTAGTTATTATTTGATATAGACAACAATGAAGATGAATTGTGGATGAAAAATTAGGACAAAAGAAATTGTTAAAAGTGTAATACAAGAGATTTGAACTTACAACTTCATATTTGCAAATTTAATTCCTTACCAAAATGTGTTATATTACTTATTCAAAAAAAAAAATCAATTGAAAGTACATGAAGGTGAGCAAGTATTTGTTTATTCAAAAGTACAAATGATATGAAATAAATCATTATATTTTTAAATAGGTTTGAAAGCGAATATTTATAAAATCAAAGAATTATTATAAAACCAATGTTGAAAATATTTTTGACCGTAAAAATAAAGGACGGAAAAATTTGGAGTATGACACACATAAACAATTCTAGCTATTAGAATTCCTCTAGGATCTTCATCTAAAAGATTCAGCAAACTAACAGGAGTTGACTCAAAACAGATAAAATCCTGTCTAGAATTACAGCCAATATTAGCTAAAACATCCGCACATCGGTTTGTCTCTTTAAAAGTGTGACAAACACTCACATTCTCAAACTCTCCCATCAACCTTCAGATATGAGAGATAATTGCCAAGTTGATATTAGAATTTCCTCTATCAATAGCATGGACCACCAATAGAGAATCCAAATTGATTTCAACATTTTGAACTCGGAAAGATATCACAAGTTTAATTTCTTCGAACAAATCCCAAAGCTCGACCATAAAAATGCTAATATCGCTAAGAAATTTTGCAAAAGCTCCCAACCATCGATCAATATCATCTCTAATCAACTTCCCACAGCCAACTATCTTGTTATCTTTACATGCTCTGTCAATATTAAACTTTGTCTAATTGCTTTTAGGAGGAGACCATGCAATCCACTTAGTGACCATACTTGACCCATTACAAGGTTATTCATCCTAGCAACTTCTTTATAATCCTTAATTTTCTGGAATATAAAATTTGTCGGCGCACACGGCCAGTCAAACTCTTCGACATGCTCCTCTCTGTTACACAGATTCCATAAAAAGATAACACCCCATAGTTCAGAAGCAATTCCAGTCGACACCGGCCCTCGACTTTGCATTAATATTAGCAGTAAACCAACTGTTAAGATCTAACTGATAGAAATGACCTACTATTTCCATGGGAACAATATAGTTCCAATCTACATGGCTTTTGGACAATTACGAAACACATGCAGGTATCTTCACAAACGTGACCACACAATCTACAAGCTGCAGTCCTCAATCCCTTTTGACTTTTGCTGAAATTGGTAATAACTTGTCGTGTTTCAGTAACCATAAGAAACTTTAGACACATTGAGCTTCCAAATTTCCACCTAATCGAATCAATGTCTTGATCAACAGTACCTTTTGACAAAGATTTATACATATAGCTAATAGAAAAATCAACCAAACCAGACCTCGTAATAACAAACTTGTCCTCGTCATATTCCTTGTGCGGCAGAATAATAGCTTGGAGTTTATTTAACAGACCTAGCGACATCCTTTCCTACAGCTCACTCCAATTCCAATTACCATTACCATCTAATAAGTCTTTCACCTTAGCACCATGCATATTATCGGGAATTGAAATCCCATAGTCGTAAATACACTCACTGGGAATCAACCAATTATCCTTGAGAACATCAATATAAATACCATTACCAATGCTCCAAAACCACTATCTAGCATCAGTTTCAGAGTCTTGTAGATGGCATTCCATAAGCTGGAATCTACACTTCTGCTATTAGATGGATCATGAATATTTATATCCTCATACAAACCTTTCATGACACGGCACCACATGTCACTTGACTTATTCACCATTTTCCAGCTCAACTTCATCAAGCACGCTTTGTTCATAACATCAAGCTTTCTCAGGCCTAGCCCACCCAAACAATTGGGATTCTGAAGCATGTTCCAATTCACCGCATGTATCTTTTTCTTGTCATTAGTATCTCCCCAAATGAAGTATGGTTGCAGCTGATGGATCTCCTCAATACAAGCTTTAGGCCACAAATTCCTCATCATGGGATAAACGGGAATCACCTCGATAACACTTTTTGCCAAGGTTACTCTACCTGCAAAAGACAAAACATTATTTTTCCAACTCGCAAGCCTTGTTGAGACTTGATCCACCAAGTTTTGGCAATCAACTCGCTTAAGGTTCCTTCAACTTAGGGGAACCCTAAGGTATTTCCCAAAATGGTTTGTCTCTCTAAAACCATAAAGCTAAAGTAGCTTCACCCTCATGCTTCTCGCTACATTCTTAGAGAACATCATACCCGTCTTTTCGATATTGACCTCTTTTCCAGACAAATGACAAAACTTATGAAGGGTTTGCATGATACACCACATTTGACTCTCCATAGTTTCTCCAAACAAAAGCAAAAGAAAATCATTTGCAAACATTAGATGGAAAATGCTAGGCCCATGATTCCCCATTTTAATAGCCTTTCACTTATTGTTCATTACTCTTGATCAATAAGATGAGGTAACTTATCCATACATAACACAAAAAGGTACAGTGATATAGAGAAATAGGGAGAAACTAGGCAACCATTTGAAGATGATCAACCTTTGGAATCAAACAAATGTCAGTTTTATTGACATTCACAATTCTCCATGGGTTACTCCACACATTCTTCACAAAATCATACACATTCTTCCCAACAACATTCCACAGCTTCTGGTAGAAAACTGCTGGAAACCCATATGGATCAGGCGCCTTCCATGGTTTCATAAAAACTAATGCATGTTTCACTTCTTCATCATTAATAGGAGCATTGAGCTTCTCTATATCTGATTCTTGCAAACTAGGGAAAGAGATGTTAGTTTGCTCCGGGATACTTCAGTTATAGTTTAACTTAAACAAATTCCGATAAAAATTGTTAACCAAGTCTTTTAGCTTGTCCTTATCCTCAATCCAATGGCCATTTTCATATTTGAGCATAGTAATCTTATTCCTCCTCCTTCTGTTAATGGTTTTTAGATGGTAATATTTTGTGTTTCGATCTCCATTAACAAGCCAATCCGCTCTAGACCTTTGATGCCACACAAGTTCTTCCTTTTTGAGAATAAGTTCTTCCTTTTTGAGAGTTTTATTAAGTTCAGTATGTTGAAAATATTAAACTTGATTTGAGCCTAAATTTATTAATTGGTTTTTGGGCTTAGTTATTTTGGGCTTAAGTAGTTTTCTAGAGAATTCTTGTAATATTTGGAATCTCTAGATATTTCTTATAATTGTAATATTTTCTAGAATAGTCTTTGGATCTCTAGAGTTGAGAACTCTCTAGAATTAGTGTGTCTAGAGTTCTCCTTAGAGTACTATAAATAGAGATGTAATCCCACACATTTGTATCAAGCAAAAATACAAAGTTCTTCTCCTTCATAAAGAATTATCCTACTTATCAAATTTATATTCAAACCTTCAATATTCCCACACACTTCTCCTTAACATAAAAGGTCTTATTTCCAACAAAGTGGTATCAGAGCTTCAAGATCCACAAAATAGCGAATGGTGGTTTCCCTTTCCAAATGCCGATGCTCACAAAGAACAACTATGATAATTGGAGTATCAAGATGAAGGCATTACTAGGAGCTCAAGATGTGTGGGATATTGTTGAGAAAGGCTTCAAGGATCAAGATGAATCCTCGCTAAGCCAAGGTGTAAGAGAGACATTTAAGGAGTCAAGAAAGAGAGACAAGAAAGCTCTCTTTCTCATTTATCAATCGGTGGATGAAGATACATTTAAGAAGATATCCAATGCAACAACGGCCAAATAAGCATGGGATAAGCTTCAAACTTGCAACAAAGGAGTTGAGCAGGTAAAAAAGATTCGTCTTCAAACTCTTAGAGGTGACTTTGAACGTTTATTTATGGAGGAGTCCGAGTCAATTTCAGGTAATTTTTCTCGAGTATTGGCTGTAGTCAAACAACTTAAGAGAAATGGTGAAGATGTTGATGATGTGAAAGTCATGGAGAAAATACTCCGCACTTTAAATCCAAGTTTTGACTTTATTGTTACCAACATTGAAGAAAATAAGGATCTAAAGACCATGACTATTGAGAAACTCATGGGTTCCTTACAATCATACAAAAAAAACAAAAGATAAAAATTAAACAAAAGGAGGCCATGGAGAAATTACTACAACTCAACATAAAGGAAGAAAACTATGCGAATTACAAGAGCCAAAGAGGACGAGGTCGTGGCTAATATCGTGGATGTGGACGAGGACATGGAGGAGAAGGAAGAGGCAGTTGCAATAACTACTCCAACAACTTCAACAATGGAGAAAGAAGTTGGAATCCACAAGCAACAAGAGGTCGTGGAAGAAGAACCTCATGGTCGAGGAGCAATAAATCACAAGTCAAATGTTTCAACTGCAACAAGATTGGTCATTACGCAACCGAGTGTAGATTCTCGAAGAAGTTGGAAGAGAAAGCTAATTTTGTAGAAGAAAAAGGTGGAGAAGAAGAAACTTTGCTACTCGCGTGTCAAAACGAAGTTGAAGATAAAAGAAATAAGTGGTACTTGGACACTGCGCAAGCAACCACATGTGTGGCGATCGAAGCATGTTCGTAGAGATCAATGAAGCCGCAACTGGTGATGTATCATTTGGAGATGACTCAAAGATACCGGTCAAAGGCAAAGGTAAAATTCTCATACGCTTGAAGAATGGGAGTCATCAATTCATATCCAATGTCTATTATGTTCCTAACATGAAGAATAACATTTTGAGTTTGGGACAATTATTAGAGAAAGGCTATGACATCCACTTAAAAGAACATAGTCTTTTCTTAAGAGATTGTAGTCATAACTTGATTGGTAAGGTGCCTATGTCAAAAAATAGAATGTTCCTCTTGAACATTCAAAATGACGTAGCAAAGTGTCTCAAGGCTTGCTATACCGAATCTTCATGGCTATGGCATCTACGATTCAGGCACCTTAACTTCGATGGTCTAAAATGTTTGTCGAAGAAAGAGATGGTGAGAGGCTTGCCTAGGATCAACCACCCAGACCAACTCTGTGAAGGATGTCTAATTGGGAAGCAATTCCGAAAAAGTTTTCCAAAGGAATCAATGTCAAGAGCGACAAAGCCACTAGAGATCATACACACAGATGTCTGTGGACCAATCAAACCCAACTCGTTTGGTAAGAATAAATATTTTCTCCTCTTTATTGATGATTATTCTAGAAAAATATGGGTTTATTTCTTGAAGGAGAAGTCATAAGTATTTGACAACTTTAAGAAGTTCAAAGCCCTTGTGGAGAAAGAAAGTGGTCTTTCCATCAAGGCCATGAGATCTGACCGAGGAGGAGAGTTCACTTCAAATGAGTTCAACAAATATTGTGAAGACCATGGAATCCGTCGCCCACTGACTGTGCCAAGATCGCCTCAACAAAATGGAATAGCAAAGAGAAAGAATCAGACTATACTTAACATGGTACGAAGCATGCTCAAGAGCAAGAAGATGCCTAAGGAGTTTTGGGCCGAAACAGTGGCATGTGCAGACAAATCTTCCCCAACAAGAAGTGTGCATGAAAAGACACCCCAAGAAGCATAGAGTGGAAGGAAACCTGGGATCTCTCACCTCAAAGTATTTGGAAGCATTTCCTATACCCATGTTCCAGATGAAAGAAGAACAAAGCTTGACGATAAAAGTGAGAAGTATGTGTTTGTGGGTTATGACTCAAGCTCTAAAGGGTACAAGTTTTATAACCCAAATAGTGGAAAGATCATCATAAATCGTGATGTGGAGTTTGACGAAAAAGATTATTGGGATTGGAGTGCTCAAGAAGACAAGTATGATTTTCTTCCTTACTTTGAAGAAGAAGAAGAAGAAGAAGAAGAAGAAATGGAACAACCAATGATAGAGGAACATGTTACACCACCTTCCTCACCGACACCAAGGTTGGATGAAACAAGTTCAAGTGAGAAGATACCACGACTAAGGAGCATTGAAGAGCTTTATGAGGTAACCAAAAACCAAAACGACATTAACCTCTTTTGTCTTTTTGGCGATTGTGAGCCTCTAAGCTATCAAGAAGCGGTAGAAAACATAAAGTGGAGAGACGCCATGGACGAAGAAATCAAGTCTATCACGAAGAATGATACATGGGAACTTACTACACTTCCACAAGGACATAAAGCAATTAGAGTAAGATAGGTGTACAAGGCAAAGAAGAGTGCAAAAGGAGATGTGGAGAGATACAAAGCAAGATTGGTGGCGAAAGGCTATAGTCAAAGATAAGGAATTGACTATGATGAGGTATTTGCTCCTGTTGCTCGTCTTGAAACTATTAGACTGATCATTTCCTTGGCAGCCCAAAATGAATGGAAGATCTATCAAATGGATGTGAAATCAGCCTTCTTGAAAGGTTTTCTCGAAGAAGAAGTTTATATCGAGCAACCACTAGGCTATGAAGTAAAAGGGAAAGAAGAAAAAGTCTTGAAGTTGAAGTATGTAATGTCTCAAGATCAAGCTGCCAACATTTTCACCAAGCCACTAAAGTTGGAAACTTTCGTGAAGCTAAGGAGTATGCTTGGAGTCACAAATCAAGTTTAAGGGGGGATGTTGAAAATATTAAACTTGATTTGGGCCTAAATTTATTAATTGGTTTTTGGGCTTAGTTATTTTGGGCTTAAGTAGTTTTCTAGAGAATTCTTGTAATATTTGGAATCTCTAGATATTTCTTATAATTGTAATATTTTCTAGAATAGTTTTTGGATCTCTAGAGTTGAGAACTCTCTAGAATTAGTGTGTCTAGAGTTCTCCTTAGAGTACTATAAATAGAGATGTAATCCCACACATTTGTATCAAGCAAAAATACAAAGTTCTTCTCCTCCATAAAGAATTATCCTACTTATCAAATTTATATTCAAACCTTCAATATTCCCACACACTTCTCCTTAACATAAAAGATCTTATTTCCAACACAGTATGCAGCTTCTTTTCTAGCTCTCTCAGCCCTCGCTTATGATACAGTCTCTACAAGTAAATTTGGACACCATTTAGTCTAGCCATACGTTTTTTCTTCTGCTTGATAACTTGATCAAAAGTGTGGAATTTCCAACGTTGAATATCTTCTCTGACAAACTGGAGATTAGTGTTCACATTAAATCATTATTCAAACTTCTTCTAATCATCTCCTTATAACCCACTTCAGTAATCCATGCACTCTTGAAATGAAAAACACATGGCAATATAGTAATATTGTTTTTCACCAGAGTAATCAAAAGGGGATGGTGGTTCGAAAAATCAACTCTAGTTACCACTTTAACATAAGCATAAGGAAATTTTAAACTCCAAGATTCATTACTCATAACTCTATCTAACTTCTCATAAATCAGTTGTCCCTCATGAAACAAGGGTTCCCTCCAAGTGAACTTAGGACCTGATGATTCAATGTCCAACAACCTACAATCATTGATTCTATCTCTGAAGATTTTTTAACTTTCTCATCGAAGCTTGGACACCACCTTTCTTATCAGCATTGCTAGCAATGTCATTAAAGTCACCCACCAACATCCACCGTTCCTTAACATTCACAGCAATACTCTTCAGATCCTCCCATGAGATTTTTATTTTGCGTTCATCAAGGCTTGCATATATCATTGTAAACAACCAGTCTCTTCCATGATGATCATTTAGATTGACATGAATGAACTGGGACTTCTTACAACGCAGTTGAACATTCATAATGTCCTTCTTCCAAGCCATCATTATTCCACCTGAATAAACCTAATTCTCCATAGTTAAATTATCATCAAACCCTAGTTTATTGAAGGTTCTTCCAAGTTTAGATGGATCACATCTAGTCTCAAGAACCACAAACATAGTTGGTTTGTACAAGTCAATATAATACTTGCTATATCTATAGAAAGCATTACTAGCATCTTGTCTATAATTCCACACCATAATTTTAATGAGTGCACTAATCATTGAGAAACAATCCAAGAGAATGAAGCACAAGCATCTCATTACAACCTCAGCAACCCAACACTTGAGTTTCCTTAACAACTTATCGAATCTCAGAAGTCTCATAACTGATATTTTTTCTCTCTTGAACAATTAGTTCTTCTTCTTCTTTTGCACTTCTAATGTCCATGTTACCTTTCATCCTGCCAAACATGTCTGCAATAGATGTTGCTTCCATGCTATAATCCGAAGGTCTATTACTCTTATCATAACTGAGAATTCCACTGTCATCAACACTACTTACAATAATGGTATTCTCTTGTGTTTTTATCTTTTTTACCATCATATTTTGAACCTTCAACTTCATTAGTTTTCTCCAGCTTATCTCTCATGTGGATGTTGAAAAGTTCTAACTGATTGTTTCCTTGTTGCTTTCTGCTTAACTCTTTTTCCCACATCAATTCCATGCCTTTTTTTATTGATATTGCTAGTTTTTTTCTTTGAATTTCATTTCTCCACGTGTCTCCAATTTAATGGTTGTTAGATGACGGTGCCTTATTTAGAGGGGGTGAATAGATCACCAAGTCAAAATTAAAAAAAAATGGTTTTAAAAATTTGTTTAATAAGAGATTGCAAGCGGAAGTTTTTGAAATTGAGTCGTCTATACGAACCAAATTATTGGAAGTCAGATATGCAAATATTAAAATTCTATATGTAATGACAATAATAAATTGGAATTGATATACTTGAATCAAATAACACCTTATTTAACGTTTATAACAAGTTACTAGAAATATTGTTTCCAATGATAACAAGCTAAAGAATAAACTGAATAATTTGTAGAACACTTGGTGTACAACAGAATTTTCAGAATTTTCCTTTGAATTAAACAAGTTAAATAATTTGTCAAACATTTGGTGTGCAATAAAAGCTTCAAAATTTTACTTTGCATTGTGTTTATATGAAAAAACACTTGTAATTAAAAGTGATTATAAGCACCCTAACACACAATTCAAAACAAAAACAATTTCCGAAAATTCATACGCATCAATAGATTACTCAATGCTATTTGACAAATTAATATATGAAAATTAAATCGACTAAAGAAATAAAATAAAATAGACACAAAGATTTGTCTTCACAGTTCCCCACTTTCATCATCGCGTGTGGGTACGTCCGCGCCTAATTTCAATGGAATTAGAATAATTCTTACTATACAAAAAGTTTGATACAAGAGAAGTGTTCCAAGAGTAACTCCACAAACCCTAACGTTTGTTGTTGATTCAACCCTTCTCTTTCTTTGATCTTTAGAAAGACCAAGACACAATAGCTGCAAATTAATTATCTGAATCTTGCTACTCCTTTGCATACTTTATCTCCAAAGCTTTTACACACCACCAATTTCAACTATTACAACACAAGACTTCAACTTTGATTCGTCATTCTTGTGCTACTTCCTTTGCGTTCTTTACCTCCAAATGATCCTTTGTGTTCTTTATCTCCAAAGGCTTTCACTAGGATGTAATCCTCTTATGAATGTCTTGCACGAAAACCCACAAATCACTCAATGATCTTGGAGGATAAACCTGTTGTTTTTCTGGATGAAGACCCCTGTAAATCTCAACCCAATATTCTCATCTACACAAGAACCTAATTGGACGTTATCAAACCTTGTCTAGATGGCACCCCAAAAAAAGATTGTTACAATGGTTTGTCAGTGTGTATCTACAGATTATTGGTTGAAGGTGAATATCAATTGCATGAAATTTTTATGGTATCATCAAGTTGGAATGATACATGAAATATGTATTTATAGTTATGAAAATATTAAGGAAAAAGAGAAAATTTTGAAATTAAAATAAAATAGAAAATTTGTCTCTTGAAACAGTATGAGTCAGCTTGTAACTAGGATGAGCCGACTCCTAGTGTTAATTTTAACAGCATGAGCCAATCTGAAATGGCCTATGAGTCGGCCTGTCCAAAATAGAAGAAAACAACTTATCCATGACAGTATAGGAGCCAACCTGAAATGGCCTATGAGTCGACCTGACCAAAACAGAAGAAAATAGCTTATCTAGGACAGTATATGAGTCGGCCTGAAATGGCTAATGAGCCGGCCTGTAAATGCATTTTTAGTGCAGGAAATGATTTTTTGAGACTGAATCAACTTTGACTATATTTCCAATGATTCCTAATACCTCTAAATGCTTAGGTATCCACCCAAACTTAGATACCTCACAATATACATAAATGCTATATTCTTGTAGTTTTGACATCATGCAAAATACATATTGAGGAAAGTTGCACTCACATACTCCCCCCATTTTGATGATGGCAAATATGCGACACTGATAGGATTTCATGTGTATTTGACACTCTCCTAATTATGTGCTTCCAATCTTCATATAGCATATCCTTCTCCCTCTTTGACAATATCAAAAAGAGAACTAGCATATCATTTGAAGTACTGAAGTTTTCCATAACGGCCAATATATCATACAAAGGCCTTTTTTCCAAATAAAAGTGTGCACTCATATACACCCTATATATGGAATGACACTAAGTTTAAGATAAAATATATAGAAGACATTTGCAAAGCACAATATCCATCAATACATAAAAGACATAACTAAAAGAGCACAAAAGTTATTACAACACCAAGAGTTCTTAAAACACAAACGATAAGTTGTTTAACAAAATATAAATGAAAATGATATGAAATGCATGCAATAAATGGAAATAACAACACAACAATTCAAGACATCAATGGCCATCATAACCATCATCACGCCTCTGATAGGTTCGTCCACCTCTATGCATAGTGTCATAAAATGCCGATGACTCCTCATGATGCTCTGTAGCATAAGTTTGCAGGTTGTTGATTTTGAGTTAAACAATTGAGTTACTTCATTGGATGTCCTCACGAATCAACTTGAACTATTCAGTGGCAGCTGACCCAAATATCTCAAAATTTGTGTCCTGAGCATTCATCTTTTCATTTATCAAACTAAATTGCTTGTTTTGAGCAATCTGGAAATCAACCAGCCATTGCAACTCCTCTTTATAGCGCTGATTCTGTTACAACTACATGTTATGAAGCATCGAGATGACATTAGAATTATTTCCTGCATCGTACTCATACATGTTTTCCTGAGAGCCAAATCCATATTCATAAGTGCCAACTTAATATCCTCTATAATTTGCACCCTGTGCAGTCCAAAAGTTATCTTGCCACTGTCCATCCCAGTGTTGCTCATAGTTGGTATGTTGAGCTTCGGTAGCCCTCAACCATGCCTCATCTGCAGCATAATTAGCATCTGACATATGAATATCCTCTTGTGGATCACCCTCAATATAAGGGCTTCATCATTCACATGATCCTCAACAATATTAAGAAATTCAGCAGGATTATCATAGTTGTAAATTTTCCTTTTTGAGCCAACTTCTAAGAAATAGTATACCCTTCTTACATGATCCCAATAATAACTCAAGTTCTTTATGGTTCTTTTGAAAATTTTCAAATTCGCAGCAGGAGAAATGTATGCCAAGTTTGGGAGATCAATATCGAAGGAATTGATAATCTTGGAAATCATGGAAGAATAAGCAAATATAGTCCCTTTGTTGCAATCTTGAATGTTAAACATCCTAGCTACAATATAATATGACCAATTTATTTTGATTTTGTTGAGGAAAAGATGGACAAGATGTACCTCGGGCACGTCAACTCTTAAAAACCACCACTTTTAAGACACAAAATGTGAGAAACAACCCAATGCATTATACGAGGCAACCACTTGAGACAACCAGTTGTGATGGGCTCATTGTTGTTACTAGCTCTGGGTGCCTTTAGTTGCTCATTGGAGTGAATTCTCCATTTGAAATCAGAATGATAACTTGAGTCTTTGACCATAGGATCATCACCTATAGTTATTACCAAAACAATACTCCACATATCTCTAGTAAAATGGTAGGACTTACCTCCAATATTGAAGATAAACTCATTTTTGAAACGCTTTGTCAGCCCAACATAAAAGACACGAATCAGATCTTCATTGTGTTAGCTGGAAATTTTGACAAACTTGAAATATGAAGACATAAATCAAGAATGTTGAAGGAAAGCTAGTTTTAAAAGGAATATGAAGATATCTCATAGAGATTTTGACTGACCAGGCTGTGGATAGCTTGCTTATATAAAATGGTGGCAAAAGTCCTATTGTTACGAAATACACGTGTAATACGGTGGGATAACTGACTTTTTGGTTTTATCCAAATGTGCGGATAGCTAGAGTCGCTACCGACTTTTCTTTTATCCAATATTTAGGAAAGGTGAAAAGAACAGGAAAGACCTTGATAGATTTTGAGTTTAGGGGGTAAGTTATGAAAAGGAAAGGTGTTAGCACCCTTTTCATCTGTAGTTATCTACGGGCTCTTAATTGCTTAGCTCACTTTTGAAAATCTTGCTTTGTATGTGTGATTTGTTTGAAAATATTTTGAAATCTCCAATGTAAGACTGACTTTGTAATGATTCTTATATCAGTCCTCAAGAATGTATACAAACTGTTATTTTTGAAAATATTTGTTTGAAAGTGTAGTGTGAAAAAAAGTTTTGAGAAAATTTGTGAGCAAGAAATTAAGAGTTTCTTATCCATTAAAGTATTTCTTATTATTTTCCTCCTCCTTTAGAGATAATACTATCCATACCATTAGTTAGTAGGTAGATCTATCTATTGGATATGAAGGGACAGACGTAGGATTGTCGTATGGTCATCGAAGGCAAAAAGTAAGGATACTTTAACAAATGTATCGAAGGGACTATCATCATTTTGTAGGCAACTCGAAGGGACTAGATCATTTTGTAGGTAGCTCGAAGGGTCATTGAGGGATTATGATCTTTATTCAAAAGAGACATGATGATTTGATCGAAGGTCTTTTGCTAAAGTATCCATACTTTTGAGGGACGTGACCAATATCATAAGGTAACAAGAGAGGTTATCCTATAGGTGCACGTGTGCGAAGTGTATTGATTCAGTTATTTATCTTGAATATTAGGGTTTTCTAGATTGTTTTTAGTCTTGCCACGCAAGCCCTAGTTACTAGCAGTTAAATATGTACAGAAAAATAAAGTGTAGAATATAAAGTCCTAAGTTATTACATGACTTTGGGAGAGGTACATAAGTATAAAAATTTGCGAGAAAGTAAATCTACGCTATTACATCCTTTGTGCAGTTACATAATTAGGAAAAAATGCCAGAAAAGAAATCTACGCTATTACAATTAAAGAATGCAACCTATACAATTTTCTATGAAAATTAAATAGCAAGAAGAAATAAAATAGAAAAAGAATGTTAAAATATTTTATGATTTTTTTGTAGAAAATAATTTAAGTTAATAATAATAATTAAAACCTAAATCGTACTTTATTTTAATGTTAAGAAAAAAATCCAATTTAATTAATTCGTAAATGAAAAATATAAGAAAAAATTAATTACTAACTAAAATCCTAATACTAATTTATTTCTTATTAAGAAAAAAGATTAGGTTAGTTAATTGTTAATTAAAAAATAATTAAGGTATAATTAAGAAAGAAAATAGGAAAATTAGGGTAAAAAAACCTGCATAGGGTGGGTGTTGAACTCACCCCCCGGCTTCATAGACCGCATTGCTTGCCACTAGGTCAAGCGTCTTTTGGTATTTAAAAATAAGAATTGAATAATATATATGAAACATGCGCGTTAGTTTGAAAAATAACAAAAAAATATTACGAGACGCGGGGATCGAACCCACACGCTCCCCGTTATATGCCTCCATCTCAATCAACTGCGTTGCGCTTCAATTCTATTATACAAGACAAACCAATAAATATATTATAAACAAGTGAACCGGAGAATCGCAGGAGCTCTAGCTCCAGTCGTCTTCTCCAATAAGGTCATTCTTCAACCTGCAAAAATAGCATGCGTTAGAGATTAAGAAGAATCTTATCCCCCAAATTCGACCCTTGTAAATCCAATGGTGGCATTCTTTTTGGCTAATTTAATCTGTACAGTAAGATACGACCAAAACAAAGAAACATGGTGCAATAATGGTGATGAAGTATTTTGGTATCATGGGCCTCATACAAGGGATAAAACATGTGTTATTTTGTCTCAGGAACATATAGAAACTATTAGTTTAAATCAAAGCCTCATAAATATCAAAATATGAAGTTCACAACATATATAAAACCGACGATGTTTGGAATGCATGTTTTAGGCACCTTTGGTCATCAAGAATGATTGGAACTTACTCTATGATACCTCAGGGATTGATTTGAATGGTCACCTAGCCTTGAGGATGGCTGAAAGCTGGATTTCAAGTTCAACCTTTTCCTTGCAAATTTCAATCTCAAAACCCTTGTTTCTTGAGCAGCCTTGCCTGTCTTTTTTTCGGTCTGAATATGTAGTGTACTTATAGGAGAAAAGATTAGGTTAAGAGGTGGACTTGGACATCATGTGAAACATATCTTTGATTTTGTTTGAAAATAGGTTGAAATATTACAAAATCATAAAGATTTGATTCACAAATAGGTCTACACGGTTTGTAGCATGACCTTGGCCATCCATAAGATTCAGATCACAAGCCTTTTATGCCTTATACATTTATTTAATATTTATTTGATTTAATTTTGAATTTAAATGAATAAAAACCAAAATAAATAAAATAAAAATTAAAATGATGCATGACTGGACTTAGAGGTCCTCTAAGGTGTCATGAACATGTCTAGACCTTAAAAGATAGGTCTATTAGTCCAAAAATTCAAGTTTGCTCAAATTGAACTTCATGCATTTTCTCAAAATTGCCCAACTTGCATAAATTATATCTCACTCAATTTTTATCATATGAAGATGATCTTGGACTTTTTGGAAATCTCAAGATGTCCCCTACAATCTTCATGTTAGTCATTTTTTTCATTTTTGAAGACTTTTAAATTGATGTAAATCACTTTGACAAAAAGTGTCTTTTTGTTGACTTTTAAAATGACCTATAATATTTTGCCTCATATATCTCAAATGAATCATTTTTGGCCTTGACCAACCAAGAGTTTTAATAAAAAAATGACCTCTTTAACATTCCACTCCATATTGTTAAAAACTAAATTATTCCTATTAATCTAAATACTACAACAAACCAATAACCATAAAATTATAAAAGAAGCGGGATTAATAATTCCAACTAAGTTTTACCATAAAAGCTTCAACAAATCTTCCCCGGTTACAACAACCAACAAACTAAATTTTACCATATTGTTAACAAGATGTTTGAGTCGTATAATTGGTGTATATATTACATGATGACTGTTGATATGTGTGGATGATTATGAGTGCTTGTATAGGCAATATGTAATAAATTTGGAAGTTGAGGACTATGATATTTTATTTTGGTCAATCCGTAATTTGTGTTATGTATCTATCTATATGTTTGGAGCAGGTTTATTATGTTGTGAAGTGTAGCATTCTAATTGTTTGTTAATTAGTTTATTTTAAAGAAAAATTACTCTGATTTTATATTATTATTCTTCGGGGAAATTAGGGTGTTACAAGGATCATCTTGATAATAGTAAACAATTTAACATTCACATTATATAGAGTGAATGAACAATTTCAAATTCTTTACTTTTTAGCGTCATTTGAAATTCCTTAAATTGAACTCAAATAAAATACTTCATAAGTTTACATCATTTTAATAATCTCCATATTTTTTATCCAAATAATAAATTTTTGTGAAGTCATTTTAAATTTCTTCAAAAAAATTATTTTCCTCATTAAAATGATTTATCCCAACACACTCTTAAAGTGTGTTTGGATGAGGTGATTGAAAATTTTTAAGGAATTTAAAATTGTAGGCAATTCAAATGATTATATTGAAATCAATTATTTTTTAAATTTTTTTTTTGCTTGGATGAAGTGTTAAAATGACTCATTGTTAAATTTTTAGGGTAATTTTTATAAATTTTAAAACTTTTGGGGTTGAAATTTTTTAGAATTTTAGGAGTGAATTTGAAAATTTTATAAAATATGAGGACCATCTTACAAAATTTGAAAAATTAATAATAAAAATAATTTAACATTTATATTATATAGAGTGTAGGAGCAATTTCAAATCCTTTACTTTTTAATGTCATTTAAAATTCTTTAAATTTAACTTAAATAAAATATTTCATAAATTTTCATCATTTTAACAATTCTCAAAATTTTTATCCAAATAATAGATTTTAGTCAAATCATTTTAAATTCCTTCAAAAAATTACTTTCTCTTATTAAAATACTTCATCCAAATACACTCTTAATTTCTTTCACCCTCCATTCACACAGATATAATATAAGACCTATTCCAAAGATTAGCATGTAAGACGGTAAAAAAATTCTAGTTCTTTTCTCTTCGTTACATGCTCTACATTATATTTAACATCAATTATGTTATCTAAACCATCCATCGTTTTAAGAATAAACAATTCTAGTTCTTTTCTCTTCGTTTCCATTAAAAACAACATATTAGAATTATTAAAATATTAACTTTTAAAGAGCTCTAACTAAAAAAATAGGATCTAGATGGCAAATATGAGAAATGATTAGGTTATATATCATTGTGGAAAATATATAAGTATTGATTATACATAGTGTACATGCAATACATTGATATATAGGCAATAAGACAAAAAAACAACACAAATGGTAGACATATATAATTACTTTAAATCATGAAGCAGAAAATTTCAACAAAGGAGTGGTTGTGATTTCCTCGACATAACTGGTAGAGCTAGTATCTGATTCAGTTTCCATTGAAGTGGTATCAAGATTCTCATGAATAGTTTCATGTGGATATAATATAGGTTTTGGAGGTATTTCAATATTTTCAAGAACATTTTCAAGCATTTCTACGACTCTATTCATTGAAGGGCGATGAATAGGTTTCAATTGTATACACCAAAGTGCAACGAGGAACATTTTCTTCACAACATCATTAAATTCTTCCATGATAATATCTTCCATTTCACTCTCCCTATTTTTAACCAATTGATCATAAATCCAAAAGGGAAAGTAAAGTTGACTTGAATGCTCCACATGTGAATTCAAATTTCTTCTCCTACTAGTCATTTCAATCAAGAGCATTCCAAAGCTATACACGTCAGCCTTATATGATACTCCTCCGATATTTTTGTAGAATAATTCAGGAGCCATATACCCAATTGTTCCTCTTGCTGCAGTCAAAGTGCCTATACTATTGTCAATAGGATAAAGCTTTGCAAGACCAAAATCTGAAACTTTAGGGATGAAATTTTCATCAAGAAGAATATTATGAGGCTTAATATCAAAATGCAAAATTTGCATATCACAACCTTGATGAAGATAAGAAATCCCACGTGCCACTCCCAAAGATATTTCATATACTTGGTTGTAAGTCAAAGATATAGCTTCCTCTTTGTTGAAAATATATTTATCAAGAGATCCATTGGGCATAAACTCATACACAAGACCACGTTTTGATCCTTCAACACAAAACCCAATGAGTCTTACCACATTTGAATGGTGTATTCTTCCTAATGTTGCAACTTCACTTATGAAATCTTGCCCATTAGTTTTTGATTTTATCTTCAACATCTTAATGGCTACAAATGGACCACTTATTAGGTTTCCTCTATAAACATCTCCATAACCTCCTTCACCCAATTTTATCTTGAAATTTTTTGTCATTTGTTTTATCTCCGCGTATGAATACCTTATTGGCATGAGAGTATTACCTTGTAGAAAATCTTCGATGTTTTCATATATTGATTCGTGTCTTCTTCGACACGTATAGATCAACAACACAGAAAAAAGTATGATGCCCAATATAATTCTAAGTCCAAGGTATGGCAAAATATACTTTCCTGTAACTATTCCTGCTCTATATGGGTTAATACTTGGCTTATATATGTTTAACTTTTTCAGGCCTGTCAGCTCTCGAAATCCTACAATACATAAACTAGAATTGAGATTTTTTATTTATGGCTTCTATACTTGCACTAGAAGAAGAAGAATAAAACAATAATCACAATGCAAATTATAGCATTATCCAACAATAAAGGGATGTAATAGAAACCATACCTTCGACAATGCCTGCAACGTAACCTGCAAAAATAAAGTATGAGTGTTAAATATTTTGAGAAAACTTTCTATTTAAGATAAAATAAATAAAGATTGCTGCCATTTTTTTAATTGAAATAGGTATGTTTATTAACATGGTTTGGATATTCTAAAGGAAATTAGTTCCCCATTCTCATGCCATATTATGAGTTATTCAATAAACTAGACAATTTGAATGAAGGGGATCGAAGGTTAATAATATGGAGAATTTTGAGGGTCAGTGGAATAAGGAGACAAATATTTAAATTTTGATGAGGGAAATCCGAGTCATGGCTTTCTAAATTATAACTAAGTTACAAGTTTTTATGTAGGGATAACATAGAATTTGAATTGTGTTTTGCTTTAGATTCCGCCATGGTTTCTTTTTGTTAAAAAAAATGACAGTGTGAGTTGCTAATGTTTGTTCATGAAGGAGAAGTCTGGGGTTTGCTGTCAGCATTGAGGTGGAGTATTGATAAGAATAAATTATAATAAAAGATCTGTGTATGTGTGTTTGTTTGTGTGTCTGTGAGATTCTTTTGACACAATTCATCATATTTAACCTTAGTCTTTATCTATTATTATGGACTTTCATCTCTAAAGATTAAATGGTAGAGGGAGATTAGGGGTCACTACTAGAAAAACTACTTTTTATAACAATGATTTCACCTCACATATTAAAAAATCAAGATAAACTTCTTAGACGCACCATTTTTTTCTTAAGAACTATACATTTATTCGGTCGGTCCTTATTGAAAACCGAGGAGTAAACTAATTCAACGTACATGCTTTAAGAATTAATTAGTATAAAAGGAAGTGTTGAATAAAGAACTTGAAACATTGAAGAGATTTTAACCATTAAAAAGCATAAGATGAATGATGAGCTACATGATGCTCGAAAATAATTGATTAGTATAAATTGTTCTTCAAATATAACACAATTGTTTATATAATTATTTTCCTAACAAATTTTGACAACTTAAATGTTTAGTTAGGGTTTAGTTAAGTAATCAATACATATTATATTTAATAAACTCAATCGTGTTTTACTTGTTAGTTAAATGTCCAAACCGAGGTGAAAGGTATTATACTCGTCGATTCAATGTCAAAACAGAGGGAAAAGTATTTTTGCCATTTAAAAAGTCTAAGATGGATCTCCCCGGGGATCGAACCTATGACCTTTATACATTAACCACCAATTGAGCTAAAACCGAGAGGTAATGTGGTGCACTTTTCATTACGCCCTTTGTTATCTCACATGTGAAATCGAGGTAAAACCTTTTTTTTTTCAACCGTCTTAAAAGACATTTTTTTGTTGTAGGGGGTACATTAGGATATCTAATCTTTTTGTGTGAAGTTTACCGCTTGTAACAGGTGTGGAGATTGTTTCTTAAATGCGGTTTAGACTATATGTTATTTATTAAAAGGATAGTTTCACATAACTCCATAGAAGTCTTTGGCAAGGTCGAGAACAGACTATTCATAAGATGAAGTTAAGAGTTGTCCAACTTTGGTTAGGTTGTGTAAAGACTATTTGTAAACAAAGTTGAGATTTGTCCAATTAACTCTTAGGTAATGGCAATCTCTCAGACAAGAAATAAGTGGAATCAAGGTGTATCACCACATATCAAGAGTTGGAGCAGGTTATTGTGGATAACAAGGTTATTGGATCAATATCAATGAGGATCTTCTGTTTGTTAGAAGTTTGAGTATATGCATCAATATAAGAAATTATTGTGTGATGTATCTTTGTAATCAAATTTCTTGCACTAAACGTCTTAAATAGTGGAAGATTTTTCGGATGGTTTTAACACCATTGAGTAGTGTAGTAGACAAAGCGAGAACGAACACCGAACCACTATATATCTTTGTGTAACTTTTATTTCTTCCCTTATCCCCTTTAATTTTATACACTCATTACTATAGATAATTAATTATTGCATTATTTCATCGTTTGCATGTCATTTAGATTAGATGTTGCTTATAGAGATTTAGTGTGTAAGCTTAGGTTTGTGATGCATCAAACATATTTAATCATCATAAATTCAATTATGTCTTGAATGAATTTCTATGTTATGTGTTTTTAAATCACTTTGTTTAAAGTATTTTTGATTATCTAGTAATTGACTTGCATTAGAAACAATCATGTCTTTAGTGATATCTTGTAATGCTTTTGTTGGATCAATTCACTGAGATTCTTTCAAGCTCTCTTAATGTTGTGTTTTGCTTCCGCGTATTTTAAAATCTCTAATTTCGTTTTAGGAGGCCTAAAATGTTTTTGAAATTGTCTACTTGGGGATAGGTCTATTCAACCCCCCTTCTAGACTTGTTTGTGTCCATATTCTCACCCAACAATTGGTATCAGAGCAGGAATTTTGATCAAAGTCATGCGACTCCAAAAGTTAAAGATATGGTTACTTTTCGATTATAGATGGTTTTTTCTATTTGTTTGGAAGATTATGCAATTCAATGAATTCCAATAACATCACATTGATTTCCTAATGTATGGTCATTCATTGCATGGATTGCATAGATTAACTTAAATTAAAACCTTAGTAGTATATTCTTCACTCATCAATTGTATTTAAGATATTCTCTAAGTTTTGATTCGTTCGAGATTGAATTGACAAAAGTTTGAGTTATGTGCAGTGTAACCGAAGACCTAACACTATGTATTAAAGTTTGTTTTTGATTAATCCTACTTAAATATGGACATACATTCATATGCCAACATGCTTGAAGTTTTTGAGAGATTAAAGAAAAAAATAAAAAAACATCTTTTAGTGACCTAGTTTTCCATATCGTAAGAAGAAGATGAAGGCAATTTGTGACTATTGGCAATGTTCTCTGAGTTCTCAATAATTAAAAATGATTCAAGAGTAAAAGGTTTTTTTGAAGTGCTAATAATCATCAAAGAGTTGAATCAGTTATTCGAGATTGTCAAGGCATGTCAATCAAGGATAATCAGAACATTTGTCGTACAAGTTCATTTAAATCCTTATGAAGGAGAGTATGGTTGTGATCTTTTGATGTTCTTGAGGAGTTGTATCCAATTTGTTTATGATAGATCGTATTTTAACTTATGTTATTCTTATTCATGATTACTAGTCGTTTTTGTATGCAACAAGTTAAGCCTAGATCGTCTAAATTGGTATGATTGTTCCAACCCTTCTTTATTCTTTTTGTTGTACACATATTTGTAATTATCCCCTTTCTTAAAGTGTATTATTTGTTTTAAATGTGTGCATGTGATATATTTGTGCATTTCATGTTTTGATCATTCAATTATCTCATGCATTGATCTAATTTTATTTCGTCTGTGCATAGTATTTACATTCATTCACCATCACTTAATTCTTGCACAAAAATTTATTTTAACATTTGCATCAAATTTATTTTCCATTAAAATCATCATTTAAAATTTTGCATTTCATTAAAGTCACTTTCTCATGTTTTTCTAGGTCGGACATATCCTCGGCAATTTGGACCTACCTTCAGTGATCCAACATCCATATGGAAAGAACCTCCAAATTAATATGACCCGGGCATATTCCTTTTCTAAGTCGTCTGCCACAAGGCATAACATCTTAGATCCAAATCAAGTATAAACTAAAGATTTTGGAACATTCTCCTGATCGCTGAATATTCAATAATTGAGGAGCTGGAGATCTACCCATCTAACACATCCAACGGTCACCCACGTTCTAATATGTTTAGTTAGCTAGATAGTTACCCGACTCCTCTGTATATACGAATGAAGACATTTCAGGTAGCAATTTTCAATGACAATTCGAATACTCTTTTATCAATCACATACTAATTTTTGCGTCGGAGTGCTAACCTTGCAGGTACACCTCCTGTTTTGTCGCATCAGAAGCTCTCATCCATCGTAGCTTCTGTGACTCCACATATTTCTGGTTCCAATATGAAACAAATGCATTAATTTTCCCCCAAAAAATATGCTTCATGATTCGAGTCACCGTTTCAACATGATTTGAATCACACGATTTAAACATTATTTGAGTTTGGCGTTGTGAAGATTGATCTGAGTCACTATTATAATGTGATTCGAATTGCATTTCATTTATTTTAATTTATTTTAAATATGTGATTCGAATCATAATTACAACGTGATTCAAATCATGAAACCAAAATTCACGCATTTTTAATCGTTTTAGAATTAATTTTCCTCTTCCACTCATTTCATTTCATTTCAATTATTTTTCAAAACTTCCCTCTCTCATCAAACCTTTTTTTTTAAAAAATCATCCATCATCAATCACCTCATCTCATTCATCCATTTTTCATCATCATCACATTCCATCAAGACCCATTTCACCAACCTTCATCACAATGAGTTCAAGTTTTCCACAAAAGAACTTATCCGAGAAGCAAAGGGGCAAGAGGAAAGTATCATCTTCAAGTTCAACAATCCATCAGAGTCCAAAAAGAGCAACAACAAAATTCCAGAAAAGCAAAGATTCATCTGATGCAACGGTTAAAAAAAATTAGAAATCTTATAAGACCATCAAAGCTCTAGTCGAGACTCTTCTCTTATTAGCAAGAAGATTCGTGAATTGGTTCCTGATGATAAACTTAAAAGGTATGTCAATGAGTTCCTAAACAAACCTGTTGAGTCTGAATATTATGTGAACAAGCTGGCTGAGACTGAGTTAGGGGTAAGATTCCAATCTCCATTAGTGAAACATAAATTGTTTAACTTTATTAGTCTTAACAAGTAAGAAATGTCATTTTTATTGTAACCTGGCTGAGACCTTATTAAAGCCTTTTACTGTAACCTGGTTGTAACTGCTGATGGATTAAAATGTCATTTTTACAACAAGTTATCAAATTCACTTTGAAGGATTTTGACACTCATTTTGGATTGTGGGAAAAGTGGATGAAGTTTACATTTCAAATGCTCCTGAATTTGTTAAATTTGATTTGGTCAATAGTGTCTCCAAGTCGCTTTTTGGTGACAGGTTGGATATGGAAAACTTTCACATCAATCAAGTGAAGTTTGAAATGAGTATTCTTCACAAGATCGGTTCAAAAATGTTGTACATGAAGTCTCGTAACCAGAAGAGAGTTGATGATCGGGACCTTTATTTGATGTGGGTCCTTTTGAGCAATGTCTGTTTTAATTAGCTAGGTTAGGTTCATTCTTCAAAGGATTGAGCATTATAGGTCCATTCTAAATACATCTTTGTTCTTTTCCTCTTTTATTCAGTTCATCTTAGAATTGAATGGTATCACATCTACTGATGCGGAGTTAGTCAAGGAACTGAAGCATATTGATTCAATTGTTATTAGTTTGATGGGCTACTTCCAGGATAAGAAAAAGGAATATTACTACTTGGAAATTGATGGTAGTTAGGTCTATGAGGACACGATTGTCAAACCAAAGAAGAAGAAGAAAATTAATTCCATTAAAGAAGTTAATTCATCATCTACTGGGTTACTTTCTGATGATGTGAAAGTGTACTTTGATGATTTGTTTAGAAATATCATGGTTGATAATTAGGTTTGTGAATATCGGATTATGGGTCGCATTGAAGCTATGGAAAATGAAGCAAAAGAAGGCAAAGAGAACATAAAATAATAGATCAAATCTGAAATGAAAGCAAGTGAAGCGAGAGTCATGGTTGAAGTGGATACTTTGAAAGGTACCATTGAATACATCCGTAATTCTACTTTTTTTAACATTGATCTTGCAGTTGTTGCTCTCACTCCTGATCCTACAGTTGTTGCTCCCAATCTTAATCTTGTAGCTGACTTGCCATGATTTACCCCTTTCATGCATTGCATAACATGACATTTACATTTTGTTAATTATTGTTATTTTAATACTATATGATGTTGTTTTGAAAGTTGTTGGACATTACATTTTTTAAGTAACTTGTGGCAAGTTTTTAGCCATGTTTTCTTGGTATCTCTATATGATTTATTAATGCTATATCTCTTTTATCTTGAATATATTTTGAAATTGTGTTGTTTGCTATAGTTGGTATCGTATGCGATTTATATGGTGCTTTAGTTCACTAGTGTGAAATTTCTATTTTTGGTTTTTATCATGGATTTAGTTGTTTGGGTGTTCTTTACTTTTCTCTTTTTGATATTTGCCAAAGGGGGATAAGTTATCGATATATTATCGATATTCACGTGCGTTAAGTATTTTATGTAGGTGAGTGTTAGAGCTCAAGCAACATGTTGTACGATCATCTATTTGTGTGTGTGTTCTTCATTCACCTCCATCTAATTTCTTATGAATTAGTGTGTGTGTGTGTGATTTATTTGGCACTTTTCATCATCTTCAACCATAGTCCTTATCTATTGTTGTGGACCTTCATCTCTAACAATTGAATGTTTAAGGGAGACTAGGGGTACATTAATGTATCTAATTTTTTTGTGAAGTTTGTTGTTTGTAACAAGTGCAAATATTGTTTCTTGAATGCGGTTTGGATTGTTTGTTATCCATAAATAGGACAGTTTCAGTATAATCCATAGAAGACTTTAGCGAGGTCAAGCATAGAGTCTTCGTAAGATAAAGTTGAGAGTTATCCAACTTTGGTGAGGTTGTGTAAAGACTGTTCGTAGATAAAGTCTGGAGTTGTCCCATTAAGATAATTGAGGATATTGTGTTTGTTAGAAGTTTGAGTATCTGCATCAATAGAGGATATTATCGTGTGATATTTCATTGTAACTAAAATGCTTATATCAAACTTATTAAATAATGATAAATCGTGATTATTTCTTGATGGTTTTAACACCATTGAAGAGTGAAGTAGGAAAATCGAGGACGAACGTCGAACCACTATATTTGTGTATCTTTTCTTTCTTCCCTTATCTCCTTTAATTTATTTCATTCATTAATATAGCTATTGCATTATTGCATTATTGAATCGTTTGTATGTCATTTAGATTAGATCTAGCTTATCATGATTTAATGTGTAAGCTTAGGCCTGTGATACATCAAACATATTGAGTCATCATAAATCCAATTATGTTTTGAATGATTTTCTATGTTAAGTGTTTTTAAATCACTTTGTTTAGAGCAGCTTTGGTTATCTTATAATTGACTTGCATTAGAAAGATCATGTCTTTAGTGATATCTTGTAATGATTTTATTGAATCAATTTATTGAGATGCTTCAAAATTCTCTTAGTGATGTGTTTTCTTTGGCATATTTTAAAACCTCTGATTTATTATGGTACCTAAAATGTTTTAGAATTTGTCTACTTGGGAATATGTCTATTCAACCCCTTTCTAGACCTATTTGTATCCATATTCTCACCCAACAACTGACACCTATCAACAATCAGCGACATACCTTGGTCGTTCATCTATCCTCCCTCATCTTCTGTTCCAGCTTGTAAGGTTGTGAAATGTGTCTTCAATGATTATTCAAAAGATGAGAGTAGTTATAAGTAGTGGAAAATTGGGGTCTTGGGAATCAAAGTGCATCATATGTTAATGTATTACTTTTAGTGAGATACATAAGGGGAGGAAGAGTAAAGACATTGAAATTAAGGTATTAAAAACTATGACAGAGAATACTCAATTTGAGGTGAAGGTTTACACTAAGGGGGACTAGGAATGAGGAGTAAGTAAAGACACATAATCCTATTACTAGTGAGAGAAATTTTATAATGGTCTATGATTGTCATTTGACTTGTGATAAGGTAAGGGTGTTGATAAGGATACATTTATGTCAGGTCGTCATTAAAGCGTACAAAGCAGACTACAACACACAACCTCAAAATTTTCACGATTAAATCATAACTAAATAGGGACTCATAAATCTTTATGTCTGTTAAAATACAGTTAAATAAAGTATCTAATTTTTTGTCATGGTAGAACCATGATTAACCTACACAGAGCCTCTAATTGTTATACTTTGAATATGACTGAAGGATTGAAGATGGTTAAACAACCATACATGTGGACCTGTTAGACTACCTAAGTAGAAAAATGAGGTTGGATGCAAATGACAAGATTGAGGTTTAAGTGTGGTTTGGTCTTGATCAAGATTGTTAAATAGTGATTCAACTTTGGAGAAAGTATGATGATGGTTGACAGATAAATTGAAAACAATATTAATTTTGAGTCAAGGTGGAGATTTGTGTAAGTATATTTAAAAACTCAAGTGATCAAGGGGAGATCTTGTTCTGACAAAATTGTCTTTTTATCAAAACAAAAGTTAACAGTTGTCTGATCAACATTCAACAAGCTAACACAATAAAAAAGTCAAGAATTGATAAAGTCAACATTCAATTGTTGACTCAATCCATAATTGATTTGGTTAACGGTCAATAGTTAACTTGGTCAATATTAAATAAGTTGACCAATCAACTGTTCGATTGACATATAAGTGATTTAAGTTAAATTACAAATTAAATTTAGATATTTGACTCTTTAAGATTTTAGAATATTATAAATATGAGTTTAGTTAGTAAAAAAGACAAATGCAAGAGTTGATTATATCTTAAAGAACTTTACTCAAATTAAACAAGAGGCTTATCATATAAAAAAGGACAACAAAAAAAACATTACCAAACATTTGCCCGACCTTAACTGCCCAATATCCTGAAAATTACAATTGAAGAATAACATGTTCAAATTTAAAACAAGATAAAACAAAAAAGCACACAATAAATGGGAATAATATATATATATATATATATATATATATATATATATATATATATATATATATATATATTTTAGAAGTAGTACTTATGTAACCTATTTGAATTTGGCTTACCGCAAGAGTCAAAAGTACAAGTGAGTTGGACACATTGAATGTTGTTGATGGTGTAGTTGAAGAAGCAATAATCACAAGGACATGAGGCTTTCATCCACGAAATTTCAAATCCATATCTAAGTGCGTTGTGGATATCAATGTTGGAAATGTTACCTGTAAAAGCAATGGTATTAAGACACAAAATAAGTCTAAGTTTGTGTATAATTAACACTTTCTTTTACCTATAACACTTTCTTTGCTGTCGGGCTGGTACGTTAATGAAGTTCCCCAGAAGGATGTGAGGGTAACAAGCTTGACACGGCACTGAGGCTCCAAAATTTCATAGGTTGGGTCCCCAACAATAGCGTATGTGTGTTGTCCCAAGCATGAAGAAGTGTCGGCATAATATTTATCAACAATCTTACTAGGTGGACTTGTACACTTCATGAAAATTACAGGGCTAGATAAATCTAGTTCATCGTAGACGTAATTCGATTGATCTAAGGTGTATTGGTATGAACTACTTTCTTTGGAAATAAACTGCCATGAACCTTGAAAAGAGAAATTGTGGCGGTATAAGAAGAAGCGAGGGAGAGAGGAGCAATGGGTGGGTTGAATGTTTGGGTCAACAACTCGGATAGTGTAATTGTTGTAATTGATTGATTCTACTAAAAAATAACCATCGTACAAACTCAATACAGTAACGTTGTTCACACAATCCAGCTCGTATCTATTGTTGCCACAGTGGGCTGGGTCTTGTTTAAGTCTGAATGGATGAGTTATGTTTGTGATCTTTCCACATGAGGAAGAAAAACAAGGCTGGGAGTTGGAATATGATAGTTGTGGAAGAAGAAGAAACAAGAACAAAAGACACGTTATCATTTTTACACACGGCGCTAGTTTTGTTTTGGTAGGATTTTTTATTCTATGGAAAATCTAATCTTCAATGATTGATGATGTATTTCTTAACCCCTTATATTTGCCTCTATGATCTAACGCGTATTGAATTTAAAGTCGTCTAATTTCAAAATAGTGGTTGAACAATCAATTTATCAACTAAGAAAGTTTGAACAGTCTAATCTCAATTAACAACTAAAATATCTATACCGTGTAAACAGTATGAATGGATGCCATTCAGATAAGAGAGAGTATATCATGCCGAATGAAAGACCTATAATTTAACTTACATAAGTTCATGTTAGGCCAAAGACTTAAGCTTCTTTTTTTAAGTCCATTTAACTAAAAAACTTAAGTTAGATACTATTAAATTTTTTAAGAGTTAAATATACAACATTTCCTGTAATGTAAGCGAGATTCACTTTAATCTATAGAATTTTTTTTAGAGTTTAAGGTTTAAAGAAATCAGACGTGGATAATTCAAAATATGCTGAATTATCCTCTCTCGAACAATGATCTCTTTGAACATGATATCGTTATTGGTTCTCTCTGAACGGTGAGTGTTTTCTATGAACACAATTCAAACTCTCCTTTCTTGTGTTTTTTATATTTTCAATTGGTATCAGAGTCCGATTCAGTTATTGATTTAAGAATTAAACATTTAACCGTGTAGAGAGATCCAGTTAGAGAAAATTATGTAGTTGCCTGCTACTCAAATGATAGAAAGCTTTTCTGATTCAAAATCTGTTTTGTAGAGGATTCAAAACTCTGGGCAAGAATCAGAAATATGAAGATAGAATCCCTGAAACAAGTTCTCAGGATTCTGAAGGCCCAAGTACCTGATGGAAAGGTATTTCATCTTCACATTCAACATAAGTTTTCCATCAGAAGAAAAGGTCTACATTTAACACTTCAACTCAACTAAAGTTGTCTTTTAAACAACTGCTGCAAGTTGAAATGGATCCAATCAATGTCATATCTAGAAGATCCATCAAGAACTCTAAAAAGACCAAAGCTTATCAAAGATATGTTCTTAAGAAATCAGATGGAAGAGTCGCCTGAAAGCTTTAAAGAAGTGTTGTGCAAAGGAATCTTCAGTTCAGTAAAATATTCAGAATCACCAGAATAATTGAAAGTCAAGAGGAGAAAATGCCATCCACCAAGGAGAAGATTAAAACAGAACATCTCTGAAGTATATGGAAACTACATTCACAATCTAAAGAAAATGAAGCAGCTACTGAAGAACAAGAAGTGAAGAAATCAGAAAAGGATCATCTAGAAGTTTCCTCTTTTTAAGCTCTGAAGAAGGCATAACTACTTAAGAATATTTTCTCAAAGGAAGTAAGCCAGATAAGAACACTACAACTGTATGGAACTATCTGAATATATTGAAGCTACTGCTAAAAGCTCAAAAAGCAAGAAGATTAGAAGGAGTATCTCAGGATAGGGGATGGAATTCTAGAAGTGTTCAAAAGACTGGAGAATAAAAAACAAGCTCAAACGAAGGCAAACTTGTCACAAGCAAAACCCAAGTTAATATCTACACGATTTTCAACAAAAGTACTGCTAGATACTTCTACTAGTTAGAAGCTATCCTGTTCAGGAAAATCCACTTGTCTCATATGGAAAAAATTCTCTTACAGTGTCTTTAACTTTGCTTCAAAGATTATTTTCCTTGTTCAATCTTTCTTGGTTAGCATAATATCTACCTCAGTATGAATCATCATATATCATAATAATAAATTTAAAATGTCCAAATAATTTCTCTTAGGATAACCATAATTCTCCTTTCTTAGCTCGTCCCTAGCTCTAATAACCATTCGAATCCTCTCCTTAAGAGTTTATTTTTTTATAACCAGTTAAGTAAACTAACATTGTCTTATTAGAAGTGGTCAAATAAGAAACTATTATAGCTTTAAGATATAGGTCAACCCTTAAATTGAAAAGGTAATTGCATTAAATGGGATGCCTTTCAAATCACGTTTAATGATTGATGCAGTCTATTGGAAAAGTAGTATACCCCTAAGAGTAGGTAGAAAATCCTTTTGCCTTAACCTCTGTAAGATTTTCACACTTCTTGAAGGACTAATAATATTTCTATCTCATTTCTCCTCTCACTTCAGTATCACTTCACCTCTTAAATCCTTCACTAGCTTTTTAGTCCTAATCTCTCAAAAACCCTAAATCCTTTCTCTCTGTGTTCCAAATCCATAATCATCAATGGCCTCTCAACAATCAACTCTCCCTGAGGAAAACCTAAATCTCCCACTTCACTCTCGAACTCTTTCCATTCTTGATGCCCCAGGAACTTACTCTGTAGTGCCAATAGAACAAATGGCAGTTATTGCAGAAGTAATAGTGGATTTTGAAAACCTAGCAGATAATGGATTCGACCTATCAAGCGATGTTAAGAACCAAGGCTAGGAAAACTATTTTGATCTTCTCAGAGGACCAACTTATCCTGAGTTAGTCAAAGAATTTTGGAATAACACATTCGCTCTTGATATGATAACCATTTGGTCAAATGTCAAAGGTCATGACATTATCATTAAGGAAAATGATACTATAAAACTCATTCTACATGATGGATCTAGTACTAAGTGTAACAGCATTAAGACAAACATATTATCCTCATCAAAATAAGTATTGTCTGAAACCTCTCTGATAGTTGATCGAATCATCTTCAAGAATGGCAAAAACTCTCATAAGACAAATGATCTCTATGATGATCTTAAGATATGATCCAGAATCCTCTCTGGAAGTATTCTTCATATATTGGAAACCAACAAAAACACGTATTTAGACACCGACTCTAAATACTTGTTATACAACTTGGTCAGGAAAGAAAAACTTAACCTACTTGCAAGCATTTTCGTCAACCTTATCCACTCAATTCGACTCTCTAAAAGGGTATCCAAAAATGAAAGGAAATGGATTCCCTGTGGAAGATTAATCTCTGCAATATCGGTTGAAAACAAACTTTTAAACTCTCATGTATCTCAAGATGGACTTGAAGTGGTATTTGGAAAACCATTCAATGGAGAAGATCTGATAGAAATGAACATTGTTTCTAACATAACCAAGAAACCTCATATTATTGAGATTCCCCATAAAGTGACATCTACTTCTTCTTTCAGTTATTTAGATAAGAACATAAATAAAGACAAGTCACTATCTCCTAATAACCCTCAGAATCCAAACTCTACACATCAAACATCTAAACCTTTACCTATCTCTGATTCCCCTACCAACCTCCATCATAATCTATCCCACTCATTCGCTCCTTCTGATCCAAAATCAAAACCTAGCCAAATAGATCTTCCATCCATAACATCCTACAACTTGACTTCAACACCCTTTCATCATGCCTTTCATCAAACCTCAATGAGGCCACTAACCTCATCTGAACTATTCCAAAATTTTAAACAACTTTATTTAACCTATCTTGAAAATTTCTTGAGAATCTCTTCCTCCAGCATGGATCCCTTCAAAACTGAAGCGGACTGGATTAACTTTAGACATGTAATGGATGTCGACTCTGACATCATGCAATATGTCTGCTGTCAAGAGGCTAAATGGAAATATGAAGACCTGCTTGAATCCTTATCCTATCCTCCCTTGTGTTTACCCACTCCAAAACCTACAAGACAAGTGGTTCCTGGCTTAGAAGTTGTGCGCCCCTCCAATAACCCTGATGCTATTTTAGTAACAGCTGAAAATGAACCCTCTTGCTCTGGTGCAAAGAATGCTATGGATGTAGAAAAGGAAATTTATGGGATAAAGGAAACCCTAGAGAAGATGTAAGAATATAATCGGATTATTCAAGAGCATCTGGAAAGTCAGGAGAAGACAAGTCTAGATCGAGGAACTTCCTTCAATCAGATTGTTGAGATGTTGAAGAAGTTCATAGAGAAGTTTAACAAAGAGTCTTAGGATTAGATCACATCTTAGAACTTAGAATTTACTCCCTTGTGTTTCTAAAACTTTTATAGTTCTAAACTCTTGTGTTTGATGTAGTTTATCTGAATGTTAGTTATCTTTAATGTTTATCTTTCTATCTCATCTCCAGTTAATCTTAAGATAAAACTTAAAACATTCTATAAATAGACCTTCATGAAAAACTCAAAGAATTAAGTAATCTTAAAATCATCTGCCTTCTCTAGTTATCTGTATTTATTCTCTTTCATTCAATGAGTTATATTTCCTGTGTTAATTACCTTCTCAGTTTAATTTTTCTCTATATTTATTACCTTTCTGTGTGAGATATATTCTCCTCTGCATTTAAAAAATATATATTAAGTTTTTCTGTTCTGATTCATATTAGTATCTATTCTTTCTATCACCTATTTCCATCAACTTCTTTTTCAATAATTTTCCGTCCCTTTGTTACCTTTTTGATTTCTGACAAAGGGGGAGAAAGTAAAATGATATTTTGATAATGTTTATGCTCAGAACATTAAACTCAAACATATAAACTATTGTTGCTACTAACTGTTTGTTTGATGTTTCTATCCGAGAAATATAAACAAGTTCACCAAGTATTCTTAAGACAGGTTGAAGATGAAGATCCTGATGCTAAGGTTGAAAACATATGTACCAAACATAATTAAGAAATTATAAAGTTATTGAAAGTAAGGTAATCTTGCTTGATATCATAGTGTTCAGGAGTTGTTAACTTTCTGAAAATAGGAAATTCAGACTCAAAGCTCAGAATTTATGCTCTCCCGAAGGGAAGACAAGTCAACATTTTGATGTATGCTCTCATACAAAGATACCACTCAGATTTTGTGCTATGATATGTGTGTTTCAGTAACGCACGCTCTATTCAGAAGTTGTGAACTGTCTGAATATCTGATACAGTGGAAAATATCATATCAAATGCTGATGCTTGAAAAGTATAGTGTTTTGGTTGTGATATCAGAATCAAGGAACAAAAGCACTGATACATGATGCGTGGGATTATTTAATCAGGCTCAAATCAAGTT